CCAGGCGACAGTCCCTACGGTGATTCAATAGTAAAGTCAGTATTCTACTGTACAGCAGTGCATTGCGGTTAGATCATTGAACTCACATGCCACAGAGCGCTGACAAAGAATGACGCCATCGTGGAGAGCATCGTGGACTTCCCAGACTTGGTCAGACCGACACGCTGGTAAATGTCTGCAGAGGAAGACACTCTCTTGGTGAGTCAAGAGTGTAATTTGCAGCCCTCATGGTGATCCTTTGACGTACAAGTGTTAATCCAGCGCGCAACTCCAATGTTCCAGCTGTTGATAGCCACTCGGAAATTCGTCGGAAGCTCCACACACAGGAGATCGTTGTTCGTGATGCCGTTCCTATGGACACGTCTAGAGCTTCAGCACGTCATTAGACACTCGATTCCGTGTCAGTTTTGATGAAAGCGTTTCAATAATGTGTCGCAAGACGCCTTGCTGTTGTTGATGTTGACGGTCGTGTTTTTTATGTGATAGCTTAACGATCATGGCATGATGGTTATTCATGATTTATTAAAGTCTCCAAGTTTATTAACGTTTCTTTATGGGGTCTACTTAATCAACTATATTTAACACCTCTCGTGATTTTGTTGTTCTATTTCCGCTCCTTTTAAAATCTTGTCCTACGCCCCTGTCGGTGACACGTCCGCCAGTTAAATAGTATCGGGATCTTGCTGTCTAAACAACTCTTAGAAAACAATGGCTTACAGCAGTTACACATATGGGCTCATTCTAAAGCTATCTTTTTTTACGGATCAAGTGACAGCGTTTATTATCACAGCGTTGTTCTTACGGCCAGCTTCTGTGTTACATGTACTACTATTTGCTAGCTTAGTCAGCTACCTCACACTCAGATAATATTTAATATTTCTATTACAAAACCGTTGCAGCTAATATTTTAGTCATTGAAACTTGCAGAAACTAATAAGAACATTGTACTACATAGCATTACGTATCGAAGGTCCCTAGTGGAGTCTGGTCAGATCATGAATGCATGGTAGTTTCACAAAGCAGAGTTTCAGACTGCAGCAGAACCGCATGAATCCATGGCAGTGCTTTTTTTAATCAAGACTGTCGATGACAAGATTCATGACGATGCGCAGATCGACACGAGCTTCTGGGTTCACGCCAGGTGGAAGAGCTGCATTCGGGGGGATCGATAATATTCTGCGCATGTCGAAGGAGACATTGACAGCTGGTTGAGATCTGGTGCGTCGTCGAAACGTTCCACTTGCAGTTGGCGCTGGTAGAGTGCCAAGTACGGCGATGTCATAAAGCGCGTATCGCATTTGAGGACTGATTTTCAGCAGGAGAATATACTGGATTCCACTGTAATCGCACCACCATTGAGCAGCTGCTTCCAGACTCGCCCACGTCTGAGATCTTCCAATCTCCACAGCCAGTGTCACCCAATCGGTAGCGGTGCGGGGTGCCGGTGCCGGTGTTCGGTTGAGCGTCGTTCTCTTTGGGCCAAAACTCGTATCGGCCTCCTTGTTCGGGTTGCCAGCTATTCTCGCTGTCATCGAGCGGCAACTTGCAACCTCGAGATCATTGCCTGATGCCCGATTGAACATTTTCTCGAAAGATGCCGCAGTGCTTTCATGCACTTTCGTTTGAAGTTCGACAATCACGATACGCCCATCGTTGAGGGCGAGAAATCGAAGTGGAATCCGCAGCCCTTCGCCGTCTCCAACATACTCATTGAAAGCCACAATAGAGACTCCCTCACAAACGACGTACGGATCAAGTTCGTCGTCATCTTGATCGAAGTAGTTGCAATCACTTCAAGCTTCAGCGCATCCATGGCGCCGCGGATTTCATCGGCGGTTTTTGAAGTCGTCATACTTGCTGCAACTGTTGATGTTGGCCGGACCACGTCGTATATTGCGCTGGAAGAACAATACGAATCCCCGTCGCAGTATGCGCTCATTTTTCTCTTCTCTTTCTTGAAAATTGAGCAAAGGTTTCGCTCGAAACGGGTGTAGATCTTACTGAGGGGAAGGGATAAGACCACCCTTGTTCTCAGGTTGACGTATGCATACCGAAACGAAGCTTCTTGGTTTGTCCGAGGTAGGAGTGTGGGGTCGAGGACGGAATCTGAGAAAAGAAGATTATCAGCTGAAAGCTTCCCCGCGCAGAATAAAGACTGCGAGCTAAATAAACAGCAGTTCAGACAGTCCTGATGCTAGTACAGTACTGCACCCCGTTTTCGCGCCATTGGACCTTTCGGATGTTATGATACCGAATCCAAATGAGCAAAAGTCTGTTAGCTAAAATCTGATTTATTGGCAAATCCTATATGGTCCACCCCGCTGTACCACCAAGCTACCGGTATCACAAACTGAATCCAGAGTGTAAGAAATCAATTTTTACGGGGTGCTCTTATTTTTGCTACTTTCTACTTTCTTTCTTACGAATATTATTTAAATCTTGGTAAGCAATATTTCGAAAGTCCTAATATCCCATCATATGTTATCCTCGAGCTTCAAAAGAGTCGAAAATGGATCGATTACTGCGTCATGGCCCAGGGCCAGCGAGTACAGCGACGGCGATGGACGTGCATTAAAACTCCCTCAGAACGTGGAGGACACGCTAGCCAAAGTATCTTCCTCGTGTTGCAGTCCTGTATCAAGTTGACTGCCAGGTCTCACCAACGTCTCATGTACAGGTTTTGCCCTCGGAGGACCTGCTGGACCGACCTGAGTTCGATGCGCGCGAGTTCATCAACCGAAACTTTCCGGACGAGCAGAGTCTGGGGGACATTGGTGACTTTGTGAGCCGTCTCCGCGGGCGTATGAAGGAGCTCGACGACTCGCTGTCTCAGGCGTCACAAGACCAGAGTTTAGCGGCACATCAGGCGCTTGTTGGTCTGAAGGAAGCGAAAACGGCGAGTCAGCAGCTTTTCCACAAGATCCACGATATCCGAGGGAAGGCAGAGCAGATCGAGGTCATGGTGCAGGAAATCTGTCGCGACATCAAGCAGCTCGACTATGCTAAGCGCCATCTGCAGACCACGCTCACGGCGCTTAAGCGGCTGCACATGCTGGTTAATGCCGTTGATCAGCTAGAGTTTATGTCCTCGCAACGTAATTATCGCGAGGCCGCATCTTTGCTCAAAGCTGTCAACTAACTCTTCACCTGTGCGCACATTGCAGGAAGAACTTGGCGGACAGATCTTTGCCGACTTTCGGTCTATTGGCCCAATGGAGTCGTTGGAGGACAATTTTCCATCCGAAGAAGAACGACAAGCTGTCTTTGCCAACCTCTCGGCTGCGTGTGCAGTTGTCGATGCCTTGGGCAAAGCAACCAGAGAGAAACTGGTCCATTTATTTTGTGACGAACAGTTGATGTCCTACGAGAGACTTTACGGGGACGGGGGAGAGTGCGCTAGGTTGCACCAGGCTGAAACGAGATACACGTGGTTCTACAATCTCCTCGCTGCCATCGACGATCGCTTGAACGCTATTTCCCAAAGCATTGGCGAATGGCTCGACGGATGTGCATTCAGTTCTGTGACCGAACGCGGACCCATTTACCTGCACAGATAGGAGCACACACTCCAGACGAGATGGACGTGACTTTGCTGCTGAAGTCTCTACAACGAACGCTCATGTTTGAACGTGACGCAGCACAGCGCTTCGAAGGGATGGCCGATGAAGAAGAGCTTCAGGAAGTGGAACTGGACGAGAACGGCGATGCCATTGACCCACATTCCGCTGAAGGAATCAAGAGAAAACATCGTCGCAAGAAGCGTGAGGCGGAGCGTAAGGCGCTAGAAGAAGAAATGGAGAAGAACGGTGAGCTCACGGGCGACAATAACCAGGGCTTGCCGACTATTCGGGGAATGATATCTCGCTCATTCGACCCGTTCATGACGGCGTATGTAGCACTGGAGCGTAAGAACATGGAGCAGATGATCAACGAGGTGATGAGCGCCGAGTTGGTGGATCGGAACGGCCAGCTGCCAGTGTTCTCGAGCTCCGTGAACATGTTTGCCTACATTCGCAATTCAATTAAACGATGTACGGCCCTGACAAACGGCCAGACGTTCTTTGACCTCCAGAACGAGTTCAAACACTGCTTTCAGCTCTACTCGCAACGACTTCTCGCGAAACTCCCTGCTGCCTCGACTGGGCTCTGGATTCTTCAAGCAGTAGTGCGGGCAACAAGGTCAAATTGAGCGATAAACAGGAAGAGGAACTATGTTTCGTAATCAACACGGCCGAGTACTGCGCTGAGACGCTGCCATCTCTGGAGGAAGTAATTCGAGCGAAGATTGACAAGGCGTTCAGTGAAGCCATTGAGTTATCACAAGAGATCGATACGTTCCACGACGTGGGCGCCGCAGCTATGAAGTGTATCGTTGCTGGATTGGAGACGTCGCTGGATGACGATTTGAACGCACTTCACAAGGCCAACTGGCAGACATGGGAAGCCGTGGGCGACGAGAGTTTGTACGTTACGCAAATGGGCGAGAAGCTACAGACGTTTGTGCCGGTGTTGCGGCAAATGCTGTCTGGACTGTACTTTACCAACTTTTGCGATAAGTTCGCGGCGTCCTTCGTGCCCAAGATCTTGCAGGCCGTGTTCAAGTGCCGAAGGATGAACCAGGTAGCAACGCAGCAACTTCTTCTTGACGTGTACGCTCTCAAGACGTTGTTCCTTCAACTGCCAGTGCTGAACAACGACGGCTTCCAATCCTCTTTCACCTCAACGAGCTCAGCGACGATCCCGTCGCGTTACACCAAGTTCGTCTCGAACGAGATGGCGACGGTGGAAAACGTGCTGAAGCTCATTGGCACTCCGAACGAAATGCTCGTCGAGAGCTTCAAGATCATGTGGCCTGAGGGTTCTGCGGAGGATTTTCAGAATATTATGGCTGTGAAAGGGCTCAAGAAGAGTGAGCTGGCGGCGTATCTCGACACATTGGGGATGCAGCGCAAGCCCACGGGTAAGATCGCGGAAATGGAGGGCAAGATGAGCGACATGACGGAGAACTGGAAGAAAAACATGCAGAACTTTGCCAAGGTGCCTTTCACATTCACGGGCGGAATGAACACCAATGCACATCAACAGGGCTAGCTTGCAACTATCCGAGCAAAAAAAACATTTGACTGCAAATGCGCTCACTCAGAAACACAGTAAATACGTTCGTAAAGTGCCAAAGCGACAGATGCAATGTCAACACACCATTTAATCTTAATATGCACTTCAGGGTTCTACACCTTTGCGAGTCCAAATCGGTGACAATGTAAAGCAAAGTGGAACGTCCCGTAATTATTTTTTTTAATTTTTGAAATTTTTTTTTTTAGAAAAAGCCTGTCATGCAAAGTTGATTTAGTGTAGTGCAAAACTTTACGTGCCGTACTCCATAGGTTCGCTACGAATTGCTGCCGCCACTGACAGCGCACAGTGGCGCGCCATCTTGTTAACCAAGCGCAGATCCATACATGGCAAGCTATGATCTGCAGCGTTTTCAAGCAGCTGCATCCGGCGCTCTGTTTTCTCTTCGTGGGGAGCAAGAAATATTTCGTCATGACTTAAGGCAAGATAAGCCTTAATGCGTGCTTTTAATACACTAAAACACCCTGCCGCACAGTAAAATAGACACGAATGTTAGTACATGTGCACGCTATAATTGTCTGTAAAACGTACCCTCAATCGGGTTACACATGGGGGAGTATGGGGCCAAACCGCAAACAGCTCCAAGTCCTTCGTGCTCAGTAATCAAAATTCTCAGTCCTGGTAATGAGAGGAACCTTGGACTGAAAACAATGAACCCCCGCTTTGCCCAGCAGAGAGACGCGGGTCCCCTCATGGCACTTTAG